AGCTGTGGGCCTCATGGTCCCTCCGTGCCAGCATGCTGGGAGATGGGATGTGGGTTCAGCCTGTGCTGGGGGCAGGACAGAGGTGGCTGAACTGCAAATCTCTCCGGAGGAGGTGGAGGTCTGGGTTTCTCCCAGATGCTCGGGGTGGTGGGAGGGAGCTGGGGGCCGGCTCAGTCGGCTGTGTCCTTGCAGGAGCTTCCAGCGGCACCAGCAGCCTGCGGTCGCAGTTTGAATACATGGCCAGGGCGGAGGAGGAGAGCAGGAGGCGGGCGGAGGAGGAGCGGCTGCGGCGGCAGCCCCGGCAGTGCCCGGCACCTCGGGGACAGGTGAGCCAGGGCTGTCCTGCTGCGTCCTCTGAGGCTCCTGGAGGAGACCTTTCCTCAGGGCCGTGCAGCTCCATGTCCCTCCAGCTGATCTCTTTAGAGTAACCTTTAGCCTAAGCTGCCTCCCTGCGTCTGCCACGAATGGCCACTGAGCTTCACTGTTGTCACCAGACTTTCCTTTGCAGCACAGAGATCAGGCTGTACCTGCACCCAGCCGTGGCCCCAGTGCTTTGGCCTCAGCTCCTTTTGCCTCTGGTGCTTGTCAAAGAGTGCAGTCCCCCCTCCCCAGCACTGCCATCCCAGCAGTCTGCATGGGGGACGCACCCACAAACTGGAGATGGCACCAGCCCCGATGCTTCCCTGCCCTCCACCTGCTGCTGTTCCTGCACTCAGAGGGCACAGTGGGATTCACAGTGAAACCCCCCAACATGTTTCTCCAAAGGGGTGCCCCACCCTTGTCCCCAGCCTGCCAGTGCCCAGGCCCAGGGCAGGTTTGTAGGAGCTGGAACAGATTCTAGGTGGAGGAAAATGTTCTGAGTTGCTCTGTTGGGAACGTGAACAGCCATTGCTCTGTACTCATTCAAGGGGACTGAGGGATCTGATGGCTCTTCTCCAGCAGGAAATCCCACCCAGAGGGAAGGGGAACACTGGGGCAGCCCCTGCTGCTGTGCCAGCACGGGAGCCCAGGAATGCCCACGGAGACCCACCCGTGTCACCAGGAGAGCAGGTGCCAAGGCAGCCTGGGAGAGCCGGGAAGGGGAGCAGGCAGAGGGGACTGCACCTGAGAGGGGCTGTGCTCAGGCTGTGAGAGGCTTTGGAAGGACGAGGGGGAGCGTTGGGATGGGGATGGGACTGCACAGCCCCCCTTGGGACAGGCTGTGGGGTGGTGCAGTGGCAGCACCATGGGCTGGAGAGAAGTGTGAACAGAGGTTCAAACACGAGCCCTGAGGATCTCCAGAGCAATGCCAGGTGCCAGTTCAGCACGGCCCCAGGGGCTGAGCTGTTTCCCTGGATGCAGGGGATGGTGCTCCAGGAAGGGGCTGCCTTATGCCAGGTGCTGGGAGTCGGGACAGTGCTGGTGCTTCCCAGGTGACTTTCTTGTCACCTTCTCACCTCATGGCAGGAGGCCAAAAGGGAGGATGAGGAAGCACCACCCACTTTGCCACCGAGGCCAGCAGATCTGGGCGCAGAGCTGTGCCAGGTCCCCAGCCAGGACCAGCCCATCTACAGTGAGAGTTTGGATGTTGGTGGAGACTACGAGGAGCTGCCAGAGCCCTCTGACTACTGTGACAGTACCAGTGGAGGTGCTGACTATGAGGAGCTGCCAGCCCCACTGGGAAAGCCAGATGCTGTCTATGACCTTGGGGAAGATGGAGGAGAGGACTACGAGGTGATCCTTCCTCAGGAGCACAGCCAGAGCCAGCCCCACCTGGGTGAGTACTGATGGAACAGCCCTTGTCTTGGGGAGCTTGTACCCACCCACTCAGTTCACTGGATGGATGGCACAGAGTCTAGAGGGAATTTGTGTCCTGAAGTCTGCTGTGGTCAGGGTCAGGGCTCCTGATGATGGAGGCTCGGTGGTCTCTGCTGCCCTGTCCATCCCCAAGGTGAGATGAGCTGGGCCAGGCAGGAGGTGTCTGCTGAGCCTGCTGGAGCAGTGCCTGGCAGGAGAAGTGGGGGGCTGCTGTGGCTCAGGAGAAGCTGGATGTGTGCTGCTGCTCTTGCTGTGGTTGTGCTGGGGCCCGGGGGTGGCTGTGGCTCAGCCCTTTGCTCACGTGGCTGGTGATCCCAAAACCTGCTGAGGTGGGGTCTCCTGGCATGAGGAGTGTGGGGAACCTTCCTCCAAGCAGAGGAGCAAAGTGCAAGGGCTGCTGTCAGTGCTTCTGCCGCAGCTTTGCTGGCACTGGAGATGGCAAGGGGGGAGGCTGGAGTTATGCCCAGACTTTTTCTTGGGAGGGGAACACAAATATCAGGACTCCGCTCCCTCCTTGCGGGAGGGGAGGGAAGTCACACCTTGCTTTGGGCTGTGCTTCACCTCTCCCTGTTGGCAGGGTTTGGATGTGCTTCCCCAAAGCTGGGCTGGAGGGTGGCACTGCCCTGGGCTCTGTGGCTGCCTCGGTGTGTGTCTCACAGGGTGTGTGTCTCACCTGCCCATCCTGTGTTCTGCAGGGAACACGGGGGGTGTCTGTGAGGGGCAGGGCCCCGGGACCTGTGCAGTGGCTCTCTACGACTACCAAGGAGGTGGGTCTGCCATCAGGGCTGGGGGGAGGGCACGGGGCCAGGGGACGTGGGGGTCACACCCTCAGCAGTGGGGAAAAGACTGTTTCTTGGGGGTTTAAATTTCTTCCTCATAGGAAGCAGAACTGGACCTGACTTGGGAACTGTGGTGGTTTAGGAATGGTATTGTCCAATTTAGCAGTCCCACTAAAAACACCCACACACCATCCCCCTCCAACCGGAGGCCCATAGGGCAAAGATCATGGACTGAGATAACAACAATTTACTTGAAACAGCCATGAGAGAAGAAAACAAACAGTAACAGCAACAATATTAGTAACTAAGGGTTTAAGAAAAGAAATTATTCACGTGGAAAAACACTCACTGGACTAATAGACAGTAGTGGACTAATAGACAGTACTGGATGGGTCCCTCCACCATTTCTCAAATGGAAGGAACCCCCTCTTCCCCGGAAGACAGTCCTTATCCCACCCCAGCAATGATGTGAGGTGGTACAGAATAACTCCAGTGTCCTGGCCATGCCCCCACCAGGCTACTGCAAAAAATTAACCCTGTCCTGGCCAGAACCAGGACAGGAACAGAGAAACTTCATCTGTCACCTGCAAGGTCTTGCTCCTCTGCCTTGTCTGTGCTGTCTGATGGGGTTTGGGTGAGGCTGAACTCTTGGGGGTTATCTTGTTCTACCTTCTCCTGCCCAGGGGAGGTGGGAGGAGGGATGTGAACTAGCTGTGCCTGGGGTTCTCTCTGCATTGTGACTGTCTGTCTTTTCTGGACAATTTTTGCAGAGGGAGATGATGAGATTTCTTTTGACCCAGACGACACAATCACACACATCGAGATGGTGGACGAGGGCTGGTGGAGGGGGCAGTGCCACGGCAGAGTCGGCCTCTTCCCAGCAAATTATGTGAAACTTCTGCAGTGAAACAAGCACTGTGCAAGCTGCTCCTTTCCAAACTGCTGCCTCTCTCTGCTTCAGCCTCTTCCATGTTATCAGCTTCCTTTGGCTCAGCCTGGTGTGTCCACGTTCAGAGAAATATCAAGGAGCAAACTGACAGTGTCTGAGGGATTGTTTTGTCTTGTGCCCAAGAGGATTTTGGTTCCCGTCCACTTCCAGGTGGGAAAGGTGGGATGGTTTAAGAGCGTGTGAGTGTGATGTAAGGTGTCTCTCCTACCCAGGCTGCCACAGCTGTCAGCCAGCAAACCTGCAGGAGCGTGTCCCGTTCCCAGTGGGGCAATTCACAGAGCAGAGACACCGACTCTAGTCCAAGCAGAAGGGACGTGAGCTGGGGAACCTTTTTCAGTTGCTGTAGCCCTGGATCTCATCCTAGCCAGGGTTCAAGGAAAAGAGCACTGGGAAAGCCAAATTTGCCTTTGTTCCCAGGAAGGGTTTCCATGTGCAGGATGACCCACATTTGCAGGAAGGAGCAGAGAAACGTGAACTTAGTCTGTGTGCCCCTTTTGGGCAGCGTGTGTCTGTCCCTGGGGGCTGTGCCCTCCCTTTTGGGCACAGATGT